CTGCTTCCAGGGAAGAACACAAATTGCAAAATGTCAGAATACTACATAGCTGATATGATATAAACGCTAAGACACAAAACTGTTTTCAGTCAGAAAACAGAGTCTGAATATTGAAATACAAATTGAATACAATAAACATAAGTTAAAAAAAAAAAAGTGATTCTCACCATATCGGCATTACAGCAACAGTTACACCCATTGGGATGCTTTTTGCTTTAGAAGATGTGGTTCAATTTCACTAGGGCCTGTTCTGTTCAGTATATATCCATCCTTCCTATGTACCTAGGTGTATTGCTATGGCAGGTAATCATTATAATGAAGCACTGGAGTGCCCTTATAATACAGCTTTGGAGGCATATCTATATATAAACATTGAAGTTTCTGGTTTGTCATTGAGCATAGAGTCTTAGTTTCTGTAATTTATGTAAGATTTCTTTCATCTAATTACGACACTTTGGTAGCCCTCAGTGCCAGTCACAAATGACAGAGGTAGATAGAACTGTGCATGCTAGAGTTTTGTACTTCAGGGTTGCTAGTCAGTCAGCCTCACACCCTCCAGCATGATCCTGAACCTGCCTTCGACTTAATTTGTCACTTTTGCTAACATTGTGTCCACGCAAACTGTCATAGTTTCCTCACACAGAAGTTCAGACAGGCTTTTCTCGTTACTCTTAAAAGACAGTTTTCAAAAGCGCTCACATATCCTTCTGCAAGAAGGACTAGGAGTTAGTTCTATTTGATTTAAGCATCAGCAGAACTAAATCAACATCTTTCTTCTGAAAATCCTTCTGCAGACATGAAGATTCGGGAACATGCAAAAACTCAGCACTCATTGGAGTGCTCATCCCCTTTGCATCAGTACGGAGTTCTCAGGAGAGTTGCTGCAGAACACTGTCTGTACTTTTTTTTTTTGGTGCACTGATGCATTTGTAACAGAAGATACTTTCCGAAACACAGTAGAGCCTTTTTCATAGTCCCCAGTACTACAGGAACTTTGTTATAAGGATGTATGCAGAGGACATAGTGCAATATATTTTTAGAATTTTATATTTTGAGATTGCTGTAGTCCGACCATAGAGAAAGAACCTCTTCCTGCCCTCACTGACATTCATAGAACCATCATTGGCTTTAGGAAAAATAGGATGAAGCTGATAAGGAGTGTAAAGGTTAGAATGAAGGAAAATAAGGAAGCTTCCACCAAATAACAAGTAACCACACATACGCGAATAATGACAGATTCTCTTTTCACCATCATGAAAAGATTATATCTAGACATTCACCTGGACATTTTAGTGAGAAATAGTATCAGCTGCAGTGAAAATTTACATTAGCTGAGAGTGAAGAAACAAAAAAAATTTAGGTAAAGGTGTGATTCTTTGTACCCATTTAATTAATTTGAGGTAAGCCTATCTTACCTCAGGTTGATTACTTATGCTGATGAGCCTGTTTAAGTACCCTTACACTAGGTGAAAGTCCACTCAGAAGTTTGTTCTGGCTGAGCAACAATTTTTAAAGCAGTTT